TAATGGATTCTTACTGAATGAACAGTTATTTTCCTATATTCTTATTTGGGTATATTTAATGGACAGGAGTTGACAAAATTCAATTTCAAATGTTGGCACGTAATGCCCTAGACCATGTCCATGGTCATAATGTAGATAGGATGTTCATTTTAGGGCAGGCTTTTAACGCTGCTGTAAAGGGCAGTCTCAGCAATGGATAAACGTTGAAGGCTTTTCTTTGAGGATTAGAAAGGTGGCCTTTTCATTCTCTCACAAAGTCAGAATAGAAATCCATCTTTGATGAGTAGGCACTTTTGGAATGTATGGTATATCGAATCATTTTGATTCTTCAACCCATCAAGGGCAGAACGAATAGCCTACTCTCGCCTGTAAGCTTTTTCTTTTAAGATCCTCATTTGTACACACGTTGATAACCACCCTGAGCTTAACTTTAATCTATAATCCCACATCATATGATCACTTTCTTTGTTATACTATGCCTCACCAGAGATTTTATGAGCCTGTATTTTGTCGATACGTAAAACTTCATAAAATAACTTTGCTATGTGGAGATGCAAAATTCCGTATAAGTCAGAGAAGTAAATTTTTATCCTCAAGCTAAATAGAATGCTTCAGCACAACAGCAGTATATCAAACCTCGGACAAAAGCCAAGAAAGTCAAAAGGATTTGGTAAATAAGACAGAAATGGACAAAGACAGTCATCATTCTTCGGAATGTAGCAATATTGAGCTGAGAAGATGCTTCAATCAAGTAGGCTATAGCCTAATGCAATGTCTCGATTTTTTATATCCAAGCACTTTTTTAAAGTTACAAAATAAAAGCGAAGGGAAGAACACAAAATATTATGGCCTGAGTGCAGTAGATAAAAAATTCACTGACCTCTAATTAGATGAACTGGGTCCTTTAGAAAATGAATGTTGAAGTTGTCAGAGTTTCTTTATTTACAAATAAATGCATTATTATGTTCAGAAATATGGCCGAAAGCATAAATAAAAGGTGACAGGACAAAAAATATATTTCCTGTAAATAAATACTTGTTATAAAATTCTATTGCTTCCTATGCTTGATCATTATGTTCTTAAACTCTTCAAAAGAGACGGTTCCATTTTTGTCGGCATCCGCTTCAGATATCATCTCTTCAACCTCACTGTCCGTCAGTTTTAAATGCAGACTCTGCAGCATAGCTTTCAACTCCCGGTTTGTAATATTTCCATCGTTATCCTTGTCGAAAAATTCGAAGATAACTTTTAAGTCGTTCTCAGGTGTCGTTGAGGATATCATCATTGGTGTCATTAGCTCAACAAATTCGCGGAAGTCGATCACGCCATCTTGATTCTTATCTACTGTGGCCATGATCTCTCTGGCCTCTTCAGTTGTGCAGGCGCGATTAAATAGCTTCATCATAGAGCGAAGCTCGTGTAATGTGATCTGCCCATTGTGGTCTTTGTCGAAAAGACCAAACGCCTCACGCAGTTCTTCCAGTTGTTCCTCACTGAGCATTGCGTTTTGCAGGGCGGGGATAGAAAGAAATATTGTAGCACAATGTGAGAATTGAGGCGGCCAGACTAGGCTATAATACGCACCTTATGTGAGCATAATGGGTCAGCATAATAGTAAATGGAAAAAACTTGAAAAGATTTAATCAATATTAACTCATTTTTTATAATGACTCGATAAAAAGAACTCGCACCTGACTTAGTAAGAGATAGGATGATTTGAAAAACAGGATTAGAATGGTTTTCTTCCCTAGATCATAGGTAACTTACATACCTTCTCGATTATAATTATTATCTGGAACAAAATTTTTAGGCAAATCATGCAGTCACTGGATTTTATAAATGACCACATGAACGGCTTCCTCCAGAACGGAAGACTAAGAAATGGATAGGCATTAAAGCAAATGATGATGATGAGCAATGTAGAATTGCAGGATACCCTTGATTTGAAGAGCACAACAAGAAAATTTCATATTTATGTCATCATCCTATTTCAATTTCATTGAATTTTGCATAGCATTGCTTTCCAAAAAGGTATTCTCATTGAGGCTAGAGTGGACTGTCGTTTCGATCTCGTCTAGGTCCCATCAGCACCCCAGCGAGACTCGAACCATGAAAGTGAAGCGTAAAATATGGACACTTTAATCCTTACTCCACATTGCCACGAGTGCTCTTGTGTCACAGGGCAGATGGGAACTTCAAGGAAAACTAGGCATTTGTCCATATAACATTCTTTAGTGTGATTATCGATGAAGAAAAGTTGGATTTGCTATATCAATC